TCTGTCTTGTTTCTTTCCAGACAGTCTTGAAAAGTGTTAGAAAAACTGAACAACGTTCAGCCTCTTTATTTGGAGCTTAGTAAATCCATTCAACTTCTTATCTGGGTCTGATGAGAAAGTTTCCAAGATAAAAAGCTGTAATGACTGGGTTACAATTCAATGAGAAAGGGGTAAGAACTTTTCAAGGGAAAAAAAAAAGGTGTTTTAGAAATTTTGCTAAAGAATTAGTGCATCCTTCATTTATAATCCAGAGCTAAGAGCATGGATAGGACTTGAAAGCCTCCCATCAGGAAAGCAGGACCTGAAGACATTTTGAACATGAAATTTTGCTCCTGTGAAAATAAAGGAAATCAAGGTCCTCTGAGGTGAAGGGAGAGGAAGAAGCAATGACTTAAATGTGGGATAGGCCCTTCCTGCAAAGGAGGTGTAGGCTAGCAAGACCAAGTCTGTGACAGAGCAGTGGGCCAAAGCCAGGTAGAGAGCAGCAAGAAGAGATGAGATGAGACTGGGACTCATGTCTAAGCCCATCTGCTGGGGTTGGTCTAACTAGAGGTACTCAGATAATTGCAGGTTGGTGCTGATCCACCCATATGGCCAGGTCTGAGCCCAGACATGGACACATCCCACTTTGTTCCTTTCTACTGAAGATTATCAGGCTGAGTTCTGCATTCAGAAGATACAGCTGTCTAGAGACAGTTGTGCCCAATTAGCCTGGCCCAATGGATGCTCAAGAAAACTTGAATACAACTGCAATGTGCCACAGGGCTCTGCAAACCTGTGGGAAGGTCTCGCCTGACTTTTAGGGTGATCTGGTTGATTCTCTTTTTCATGATGTTTTGGGTGTTTTCATACAGCATATAATATTGTCATATTATGACAATATTGTATCATGGATTTCTGGCTAAAACGTTGCTTTACGGAAAGTAAGTATGGTCTGTCTACTTCCCCCCTTCTTCTTCATATGCCTTCTGCTTTTATGCCTTCTGTTTGCAGTCAATATTCAATAATCCAGAATCATTTAAAAGTTAAAGTGTATAATGAATGACATTTTGCTTTCAGTAAACATCTATACTACTTTTATAACTCTTGCTATTACAATTTTTTAATAGCAAATGGGCTTTTGCTATTAAAATTTTTACCAAAACCTTAAAGACCAACGTTGATTACTCCATTTATATTGTGAAAATGATCACATCATTGGTCCAGTTATGGATTAATTATTTGTGATCAATATTTATTCAGTCTCTCTTTTGGATGAGACACTATGCTCTAAGCACTTGGCATTACAAAGATGAATTAGACACAAGGAACTTTGCAGACAGCTACAGGAGCATTTCTGAAGATGGTTACACAACAATGTAAAAGTTGAAAATAAATCACAGGAAGGATTAATGTAGCTAATAGCAGAAGAGAAGTACCAAAAAACCTGTCAGAGAGTCCAGAGAAAGGCTGAGATATTTCAAGTCTGTGGAGTGGCGGGCAGGGAAGGAACACAATGCTGAAGGTGATGTAAAAAATCGCAGCATTCCTCTCATACTCACTAGGATGGCCACTGTAAGACAGATGGGCAAAATAGCAAGTGTTGACAAGGACATGTAGAAGTAAGAGCCCTTGTGCCTTGGAGGGAATAGAAAAGGGTGCAACCACTATGGAAAACGGTATGATGGATCCTCAAAATAGTAAACAGAATATCAGGTGGTCCAAGAATGCTGCTTCTTGGCATAAATTTAAAAGAATAGAAAAGCTGGGTCTTGAAGATATACTTGTACATCCATGTTTATGGCAGAATTATCCACAATGACCTCAGGACATTATTCTAAACAAAACAAGCCAGACCCCCCCCCCCCCCGCAAATAAACAACAACAGCAAAAAGAAATACTGAATGAGCCCACTTATGGGAGGCATCTGAAATAGTGATGTTCTTAGAAACAGAAAGCAGAATGGTGGTTGCCAGGGGATAAAGGAAGGGGGATATTGGGAGTTTAATGGGTTTAGAGTTTCAGTTCTGTAATGTGGAGCATTTCTGAAGATGGTTACACAACAATGTAAAAATAGTTAACACTGCTGACTCATACACTTAAAAATGATTAAGTTGGTCAATTTTAAGCTATGTGTATCTTACCACAGTTTTTAAAAAATGCAGTGCTGTTGACCCTTGAATTATGTAGGAGTTAGAGGTGCTGACCTCCTGTTCAGTTAAAATATCTGAATACAACTTTGAAAATTATTTAAGACTTTTATTTACCAGGAGTTTAAAGTTTGTTTATTTAAAAATCAAGTTGTAAGCTTTTTATTACACATTAAAAATGAAATTCTTTAAAAGACTCAATTTGATCATATATGAAACAAAATTTTAAAGAAAGAAAAACCTATGCTTTTAAAAAGAACACATTTCTCATTACTAAAAAGACATGTCTTTAGGTAAAAATAGTAAAAACCCTATGCTGTATAGACTATGTAGCTTGAGTTATTTGACCAACAGGTAAAGACATTCCGTATCTTTTTCATTGTGGCCCTCCCCACTCTGCCTTTGGTGAGCAGGGCCTGGAGCAACCTGTCTATAGCCCTCGCTCCTATTTTGTCTTTCTGGTCCACCTTTTCCCCTGTTAGCACCATGCATGGCTTCTCCCTGCACAGGAGGGGTGGAATACTGTGGTCCATGCCTGTGGGGTCTCCACGTGTAGTAAGGTGGGAACCTGGGCCGGTGGTAGGCCAGTGTTGTTGGGCACGGACTTTGGGAGCTTAAAAGCTGTTTTGATTTGGGAGTCAATTGTACTTTATTGTATGAGAATTATGGGAGTATATCTGACATCTTGGAATAGTTGCCCATGCATACCTTTTGTTTGTTCATTCATTCATTCATTCGACACACTTGTATTGAATGCTTGCTGTGTGCTAGGCATTGAGTTAGGTTCTTGTCTGCAACAATTAATAAGGTTTTCAAGACAGTATATCTATCCATTTCATGCTTTCTCATTATCCACTCCCACACCCGCAAGGGATTGAATTCCTAAGGTTAAATATTCACAGTGGCTTCCTACTGACTTGAATCATGCATAAGACATTAGTAAACAAACTGTAGAAAGATCTGAGGTTGATGGGGGGCATTCAGCAGCATAGTGGTGAAATGGAAAGAGATGGGTAACAGAAATATGAACTAGGATTGAAAACTGAGGTCCAGTGCTCTCTCAGGATCATTAAAAAATAAAGAATTCCTATTTGAGGCTGCCAACCTCAGAGCTAAGTTATTCCAAATGGAAAAAAATTGGCAAATCAGATGTACTTAACCCAAGGGACCAATGTTTTGTGAATTTTATGGCAAATGTAGTTGGAGACACACAAAAAATTGTGTACAATATTAGTAAGTGCGAAGGGCAGGGAAAGGTTATAAAATCTGAGCAACAAGAAAAAAGGGCTGTAAAGGGGGGAATCGGTTGAACTCAGCATGGCTGCAGCTTCCTTAACCACGAGATCCTGGGAGCTCTATTTTCAATTTACTGTATCTCTTCTTAGAGTTTTGAAAATCTTGTAGGAACCTTTACCCCATCTACCTCTACAATATCTGCCAACCTCTGTTTCCCAATCACCTTGTACACACTCTTCATTCATCATGTGTATCATTGAGTGCCAGCTACATTCCAGGCACTGTGCTGCCCTCTGACCAACACCCCTCCACCCCCAATCCCTTACACTCAACCTGTGTTGGTTGTCACATGTCTAGAAAATCCCAGGCCACCCTAACTTCTGCTTCTATACCTGGCCACAGGAGAAATGCGAACTTCTCATCTACTTCTTCCCATTCCTCCTTTCTTCCGATCTTCTTCAAGGTATCTTCCACAGGTGGCTCCTTGGACAGCTTCTTTAGTTTCCTTCTTGCCTTTGTTCTTTTATTCTCTTTGTGCCTTCATCCATTCTGTCCCTGCTGGTCTATTCCCTTCAGTTTGCATGAGGGCTTTGTAACCTCTTCCACTATAAAAATCCTTTGGGGGGTGGCATTATATTCTTTAAATACTACATGAAATCTTTCTTGAGCCATTCCCATACCAGCTCTCCAAGATTTGGAAAGCCTCACTCATCTTCTCACATCCCCCCCTGGCGTCCACACTGGGGTTTGGCTGGAACCTCTACCCTTTCTCCCAGAACTCCTTGCTGAATGTTCTCTTAGTCAAATTCAAACTCACTTTATCAGTGCTTGTTTCCTTGGACTTCTCTGTTCCATTTGGCATTATTGAGTGCCCTCAAATCATTCTTAAAGCTTTTTACTTCCCCATTTTCTTGATTCTCCTAGCACCATGCTTTGTTTCTGTTTATTTTTCAATTTCATTTCTGGGATATGCTTCTTCCATGAAATCATTAAAGGTGGAGGTAACCATTGGTGTTCCTCCACTCTTCTCATTCTATATGTTCTTAAAGAGGACTTTGAATAGTGGAGGACAGCACCCTTAAGTTATAGTCAAGTTTTAAAAATCCATAACCAGGCTTACCTGGTAACAGTAACATAAACATTTATATTGTTGATTTTTTGACATGTGTTCTACATTGTTCACCAATTCATTGGAATTTCAATGCTCCAGCTGTCCTATGCTTTGTTTCTATTTCCTAAAGACCCTTTCTGTGGTCTAGAATCAGAATGAGCCTTCGCCTTTAACAGTTCTGATTTAATTGTAAGTTTTGAGAAAAGACACTTATTAGAAACCAGCTAATTTCATTTTGTCATTTTTTTAGAGGTAGCATTTTTTGGGATAGACAGTCTGTTTCTTAAGCAAGTTTGCAACAAACAATTTTCCCTCAAGGTTAATACAGTAGGCAAACACCTTTTGTGGCAGCAAACAGCAAGAAGTAACAAAAGATTAGCTTACATTATGATTCATTATTTCAAAATGTCAGGATAAAGTGAATCTGCTCATCTCCTAAGCCTCTTATTCTTTAGAGGAGAATACATATTTTGTTTTTTCTGATGATAATGGACTCACCTTTTTCTTCCCTTTTTCTCCCTCAGGCCAAATTCAGATAATCGTCGCCAGAGTGGCAGAGAGAGATTGACCAGTAACAGTGACAAGGGAAGCCTGGCCTTGGAATCTGCCAAGGAGACTCGCTACTGTGCAGTATGCAATGACTATGCCTCTGGCTACCACTATGGAGTCTGGTCCTGTGAGGGTTGTAAGGCTTTCTTCAAGAGGAGTATTCAAGGTAATAGTGTGTTGAAATCAACTTATTCTATGTTTGGTCCAAAGATCAGAAATGACCAAGGAAGGAAGACACAATCAGCTACTTAACACCAGTGGGTCCCACTAGCATCTTTGGTAGAAATACAGAGAAGAAATGGAATCTCACAGGAGCTGACAGATGTCAGGGAAGCTGTGACTGAGTAATTCTGCTTCCTCCATTTGGCAAGGTTCCTACAGTCTCCACAAATTCTATAGAGGGGGACTGTAGTAGCTGGGTCTCTGAAATAAAAGGAAATGTCTCTGCCCTGATTGGGAATTGGCAGATGGACATTCCTGTTCTGCAAGCAGCTAAGCTTATGTACTATATTGTTTGTGCACAGTTATCTTACCTTGGCCTTGTCCAGGTTAGTATTCTGTTCTGATCTTTAGTCCAGACCATTTCTATGCAGCTTGTTCCCTTCCTCTCTTCGATCTCTTTCCTGTCTCAATGGATGACATGACCTTTTGCTAATATGAGCAGACTAAATATCTAGTGACTTGAAATAGGGGATATAGCATCAGTCCAAGTAGTTACGAAGTATCCAACTGTAACATTTCATTCTGCTGCCTGCTCAATCTTTTTGTTGTATAGGGTTTATCAATTGCAGCTTCTCTGATATAGTGCCAGCTACATTTTATGTCTACTCCAGGGTTGTCCATGTTGTGGTATTTCACAGGACAACCTAGGAAGATGTCTATCATTTTTACTACTAAAATATCCATTCTACAGATCCTTTATCAAAAAGTCTTACTGAATTTACCTTTTGTTTTAATAGGAGGATATTTTTTTCTGTTCTTATCCCTTTACTTTTTCAGATTCTGTGAAGCTTGGTCTATAGATACTAAGGATATTTCTGAGAGAGTTTTCACAATTCCCTCTCCAGAAATCTAGACTTAAGTAACTTGTTAAAAACTAGAGTCTGCTAAATTAATAGACACTGACAGAAGAAGTGATTCTCAGGAACTTTCTGCTATGGCTCTTCACAGCTCTTATATGGCATGAAAACTGAGGGATGGTACATACTATTTAGTTTTCCTTCCATTGCCAGTGGAATTTTTTTAAAAGCTGTTCATATCTTAATAGAGTAGACTGTGAGGTCAATGTGATCCATTTAAAAAGCATTTTTCTTGACACTTACTGCTTTCAACATCTTTAAAACTCTGCTGTAAGACTTGTACTTTTTTGTCAGTGTTTTTATAACAATTAGTGATATTATCTGGCAATAAATCTGTAAGTGTGTGTGTGTGTGTATACACACTATTAATTTTACTAGCTGATACTATCATAATTCAGAAAAATTAAATTTAAAATTTATATCTTGGTTAAGGTTAGTATAAATACTTAAAAGTCTGACAAACATCTTCATTTGTGGTTTTACTGTTGATTTGATTTTATATAATCTAAAATACTATTTTTACTAAGCATTTAATCCAATAATGAAAATGTATCTGATAAAGGTAAGGTTAGTGAATAGGTTCAGCTATATACTTAGGTAAGTCAAATATCAGGGACTTATTTCCATCATCAGTAAAAATGATTTAGAGTAGTGCAGGGGTCCACAAAGTTTTCTTTTTTTTTGAAGGGCCCAATAGTGACTATTTTAGCTTCTGCAAGCCATTCAATCCCTGTAACAGGGACTATCCTCTGGTACTGTAGCTTGCAAAGAATCACAGGCAATATTTAAATAAATGAGAGTGGCTATATGTCAATAAAGCTTTGTTAAAATAGACAACTGACCAGAATTAGCTGGTAGAGCATCATTTACTGATCCATGATTTAATATTTATTGATTTTATTTAGTCTACATATCACAGTTTATGGAAAAAATGGGTGGTTTTTAAATCTAAAGTTCTGATTATTCATGGTTTGTTGAGAACTTACTCTGTTCTTTTCTGAAGGAAATAGAAAATGTGAAAGACATACTTCATAATCCCACAGAATTTAGAGTTGTTTGAGAAGTTTATTTGGGGGAAACAAAAGTACTGGTTCTCATGACATAATTGTATAGTAAGTTAGTATAGATAAAGTGTTACTTTATGAAAAAGATAAGGAAAATAATAGATAAATGTAAGAGAAGAAAATAGTGTCAGTTATAAATGGAAACTTATTGAAATTGAAAGTAGAGATGGCTGTCTTCCAAGAAACAATAGCAGTATTCTTACAAATTATTTTCATCATAGTTTTTCAACATTAGTAATAAACTACACAAGTTCCCATCATATTTAGTAGTATCTCCAGGCATTAAGACATATGACCAGAAAATAAGAAAAAAGAAAGATACACTTAAAAATATCAATGAAAAATGTGCTTATTGGTATGGTTTTTACCTCAAGTTCAATTTTTAAAAATAATTTCTGCTTACTCTTTGATACTTTACACACACACACACGTGCGTGCACGCGCGCACACACACACACACACACACTAATCTCCATCTTGTATTCACAGACTAAATAGTAGAATTTCATTGAAATTGTACCATATAAAAATGAGAGTTTTATCTAGGTTCAGAAAGTTCTTATATATCATGGTGTGGTCATATAAATAAAATTTCTTCCATTGGGTGGAGATTGAGTATGAAGTTCTGAAAGAAACCTAGAAACAAGGCAAAATTATTACTTCTAGAGATATGGAGGGACCTTAAAACTATTAAGTTCATTAATTTATTAATTTATTCATTGAATATTTCTACTAGGAAAAGTACTATGCAAAGCCCAGGGGGATGCAATAATAGAAAAGACCTGGTCCCTACTCTCATTGAGCTTATAAGGTAGAAGTAGAAATGAATAAATAAACCAGCAATTAAATTACAGTGTGACAAGTGTCAAGCTCCAGGTGAATGCAGCGTTTTACAGAAGTTTAAACTTGACTCAGTCCCAGGGAGTAAGGGTCTCAGAGAAAGTTTCCTGATTAGAATTAAGTCTGAAGGATGAGATAAGTGAGCAAGGTGAAGGACAGAATGTTTAGTTATAGCATGGGAATATGAGGGAAGGTCAGGGGGGAAGATAGAGTGCAGGGAGTTCTGTGAATAAAACTTCACAAGATTCATTTGCTATTAGATTGAACAGAGACATTCCAGGCTGTTGATTCCCTTTCCATTTTAATGCTATTTTCATATGTTGTGTTGGTTTGTGCTGCTACAAGGGGATATGCCAGAGCAAGTTTAAATGTTTCCAATCCTGTTTTTCTCATCAGAGTCTTGATGACTTGGAACTAAAGGTTTTACTGAACTTTTGTGGCTCTTTATGAATCACACTGCCCCTCAAACACACTGAAGGACAGTGGAGGGGCTGGCACGTAGGTGGAAAGTTCTGAAGAGGCTGCGGCTCTCCCTGTTTTTCATGTTACTTAAGAAGAGAGCTAGGAGTGAGTATACATCAGATTATTCTCAAGTTCTAAGTGTTTTGGTTGAAGAGGTAAAGTGTTTGACTTGAAAGCACACAAATTTTTATCCACTACTTAGTCTATAAACTTGATTACTTAAGAAATTGAGTAATGGCCTCCAGTTGAATGCATTTAAAAAAAATTAAAAAGCAAAGTTAAGAATGCTATTAAAGTCAGAAGGATGAAATTGAATATTCTATGAATTTAGTAATCATTGTGGGCATTGGATTATGCCTTAAGGTGTGTTTTAGGTAGAGACTATGGAATAAGTTACATAAGCAGATCTAGTTATACGTTCGGTAGCCGATATTATCTTTGAGTGCTTCTCCAAGGAAAAATGGTTCTACCGAGTTCACTTCTCTTACATTATTATTTCAGAAAACCTGAGCCATAGCAGGGCCCAAGGCTATCTATACACCATTAACTATGCTACCACTTCATATTCTATCCATGTATTCAAGTCACTCAACATTAGACCAATATACATGGCCAAGGCAGATGTTAACCCACAGATGAGCTGAGATGGGACAACATGGTATCAGAGTGGAATCCGGTTATGTTTCAATGCAGTGGGGGGCTTACATCCAACAAGGATAACTGAGTGCACAGTCCACCTGGACCTTAGAAAGCATTGGGGTAAGCTAGTCCAGGACCCTGGATAGCTCCTGCAAAAGCTGCTGAAGGTGTGCAGAGGCTTACTTTCTAAAGAAAGGTCCACTTAGCTGGTTCCATCAGTCTGTAGAGCTCTGTTGAGAGAGAACACAGTTATCCCAGGATTGACAACTCACGCTTGTTCACTCAAGATTAATTAGTTTTCATATTAGTGTCCAGCCTTCTGCTTGGTAGGTGAAGCCCTATCTGGAAATGGTTAGTGAACAGGTAGGTGTGGGGGCTCCTCTTGCATCATGTCACTGTTTTATATTGGTGATCTCCTCAGAGATGTGATTTGGATCCTGATAATATATACACAGAAAAATATTAAGTCTTTTTTCTCCACATTTCTATACTTTCCCCCCTTGCAGTACAGTCTCCATGCAACAGCAGAAGAGATCTTTTAGATACTTAGCCAAACCAAATGATCTTGAGCTTAAAACTCTCAATGAACTTAGAGTAAAATTTCCTTTGTATGGCTTACAACGGTCTACCTATTTCTAATACTGTTTACTTCTCCCCAGTTAATGGTGGTCCAGCCACACTGGACTTCCTTCTTTTCTCCCAACATGACAACACGTTCCTTCTTCAGAACCTAACAATGTGGTTCTTTCTCTCTGTTCTATTGCCTGGAATGTCCAGATTTTCCCTGGCCAGCTATTTGTCATTCAGAACTCAGCCCACAACCACTTCCTCAGGTAGGTCTTCCTCAATTATCCTACCTAAAAGGATCCCTACAGACCATTGCCCTGAAGTGTTGTTTTCTAAGTGCTCCCTTCCCTGTCTTCTTTTCTCTTTTTCAACTTATACAGAACAGTTATGGTACTTATTTGTAGGGTACCCAATGTTTTGATACATGTATGCATTGCATAATGTTCTAATCAGAGTAAATGTTACTTCCTCAAGCATGTATCATTTACTAGTGATGAAAACATTCAAAATCCCCT